CACTGAGCTGCTGTTGGTGATGCCACTGAGCTGCTGTTGGTGATGCCACTGAGCTGCTGTTGGTGATGCCACTGAGCTGCTGTTGGTGATGCCACCGAGCTGCTGTTGGTGATGCCACTGAGCTGCTGTTGGTGATGCTGCTGTTTTTGTCTTGTGCCGATATTAAGATGTGAACGGTCTACGTCGTTCACTATTGGCCACGTTTATTTTATTAATCCATACTGAAAGCCACATCTGGCGTAGCCGCCTAAGTAACATTAGAGTCAGACTTAAGTCACCTTACTGCAGTAGGAGCTACGTAGCGCGAGGTCAGGGGCCATACTTTCAAAACTCGCTAAGTGAACGTAAGTACTTGCGCTCTATTTTCTTGTGTATGATTGGTGGATTTTGCTGAAAAAGGCCGTCAATGATTGGCTGATGAACTTACGATCTCTTAACTTTTTTCGAAAGAATGGGCCCAGGGTCTGTGTGGCTGTGGGTTGAGAAGTAAGTCGTGTCCTGCCAGCCTATTGTTTTTATTGTATCATTCACTTTGAATTTATTTTTTTTTGCCTTTTTCTTGCTCAATCTAAACCTAGTGAGGTTCTGACCTGAACTCACCTCGCTCCGTAGCTCCACTAGTTTTTAGTTTTTAGTTTTAGCGATCTTGTGCCCCAACGCTATTTGTTGTGGCTGTGCTCCAGACGCTACCTCAAGCCGTTTGATGTCTCTCGTGCTGGTTTTGTTATTATATTAAAACACGTGTTGCTTTCAAGTCTTCTTTATTGAAATAAAAGTCAACTTTTATTGGTGTTATCTGAAGTCTTAATTAACGGAATTGAAGTGCAATAAAATACTAGAGATTGAAACTTTCTTCATAAGATTATTTTTAACAAGATAATCACCGGCGTTTTCCCGTATAGTCCGTGGCGACGTCCGGTGGTAAAGGAACGGTTGTACTGGTTGCAGGTGCTGGTGCAGTGGTTGCAGTGACGTGCAGTGCCACCAGCACCCTGGTGGAGAACGTGGTGGTGTTGGTGAGGAGCCTGCACCTCCTGCCGCAGTGGACGCCCCTCATCAACACCGCCATCAGGCAGCACCTCGCTGCCCTCCCGGCCCTCCTGCGGCACCTCACCTCCTACAGCATCCAGGTCCTCATCCATTTTTTTTATTTAATTACGATGAAAATTATTTCCAAAATTTTTAATTTGAATGAAGACTCAAGGCAAAAATTAAATATACTGTGATCAACCTTTTTTTTATTCAATTACGATGATAATTATTTTCAAAACTTTTCATTTTCATGATTTATTTGAATGAAGACTCAGGACAAAAATTAAATATACTCTTATCAATTTTTTATATTGAATTACGATAGAAATTTTTTCAAAATTTTTAATTTGAATGATTTATTTGAATGAAGACTCGAGGCAAAAATTAAATATAATGTGATCAACCTTTTTTTATTCAATTACGATGAAAATTAAATTCAAATTTTTTCATTTGAATGATTTATTTGAATGAAGACTCAAGGCAATAAATAAATTTACGGTAGAGGCTGTGATTGTGTGTTATCAAACGTTTTTAATTTTTATGATTTATTTGAATTAAGAATCAAGGCAAAAATAAATATACTGTGACTGTGCGTTATCAATTTATGATTATGAATAATGATTATGAATAATGATTATGAATAATGATTATGAATAATGAATTGGGATAAAAATTAGGGAAAAGAGAAGAAAAAGGGAGGAAATGGATAAAAGATTCAATTTGAGATGTTAGAATATATCTGAAAATAATGTCCTGTTCAAATGAAACCTTTGATTTTTATAAATTATATATGAAGCCAAGAAAGCCTATTCTTGTCTAAATAATTTCGATTGAGCTACACATTTTTCTGAGAATCACGTTAAATTGATTAATAAGAGTTTAATTGATTTCGTTTCTGATACAATCAATCGACTGATCTGATGACATTATCTTTTTTCTAGGCTTCTTTGTACACCGAAAATTATATTATAAATTTATTATATATTATTGATTATTATTATTGATTTATTATTTATTATATATTATTGATATTGATTATATATGATATTGATAGTGATATGGATTATATATTATTGATTGGTCATATATTATTATTTATTTATTATTATTGCTAATTATTATTGATTATTAATAATTTTACAGCCGGCGAGTTCAGGCTTCTTCGCAGGCGACGACGATGGGGGAGGTGGGACACCAGGGGGTTCAAGCCTGGGGTTTAGTCGTATTCCTCACACCAGGGGGTTCAAGCCTGGGGTTTAGTCGTATTCCTCACACCTTGGGGGTTCAAACCTAACCTATCGCAATAATCCCCCAGGAACCATTGGGGGGTTCAGGCACCACCGCGCCGTGGTGCAGCCCCATGGGGAGGTGCCCTCCATTCTGCTCCCCCTCGCGCACCTCCAGCCTGTCCCCTCCATGCCCCTCGCCCTCGGTGGGTCCCTACACTCATAAACATGAACGAGTCATATTGCCTTAACTGTGGTACACTCAATAACATGAACGAGTCATTTTGTCCTAACTGTGACCCACTTTTTACTCGTATGGTTCTACACTTTAAAACATGAACGAGTTATATTGTATATTGTCCAAACTCTGACCCACTTTCTACTCATAAACTGACACGCTTTTTCACCGAGCCAAACTGGGCCAGGATGACAAACACGAAGGCAGAAAGGGCGTATGGACAAAGTATGAATCATTTCTTTGAGTGTATAGTTTCGCGATCGCCTTCTTTTACTCGTCTTCATCAAATATTTTTTTCTGTGTTTTAATCTTCATATTTGCGTAAATCTATCTTAAATCATAATTATAATTATGATTTTTAATGAGTAATAATTTTTAATTTAATTATAAATAATTTTATTATTCATATTTGCGTAAATCCATCTTCATTTATTTCCAGTATACGGTATGTTATATTATAGTACGCATGTCATGTAAAATAATATATCTCATAGTATACGCTTGCGTAAGCATGTACTTTATAACATAAGGTACTATTTTAATTGAAAACCTGGTCAAATGCACTCTATTATTAGCTGTAGTTATATTCAATTTATAATATTTTATAGTATAATGTATTTGAAATATTAAGAGGTTGGACTAAATAGCGTAAGCGCCTGGGTGACATTATGAACTTTGAAATATAATTTTGAATGTCTCCTTCCTGACGTGACAGATTATATTTTTATATTTTTATTTATTTTTAGATTTATTCTGTCCAAAATTTGAGATTCCCACCATTGTAATAAAAAAAAATTCAAAAATGTAAAAAAATTCTAATTTAATTTATTTTTTTCAATTTATGAAAAAGTTTCGATTTAAATTTAAATTTAATTCTTGAGGGTCCCCCCCAGCCCCGCGATGTGGGTGTTAACAAGCAGGTCTGTTCCCCCAGAGCGGGGGGCGCTGGTGGACGGCACACCAGGGGTGTGGGCGGCGCTGCTGGCCGTAGCCGCGGACTACACCCGCACCCTTCACGTCACCCAGACCTCCAGCCTGTCACCCACGTGGCTTAGGGTGCAGCAGGTGACTTGGGGGTGCTGACAGTGTGTGGGCGTGGGTGTGTGAGGGGGAAGTAGGGGCTGCTGTACCCTGCACGTCACCCAGACCTCCAGCCTGTCACCCACGTGGCTTAGGGTGCAGCAGGTGACTTGGGTGTGCTGACAGTGTGGGGGCGTGAGTGTATGTGTGTGAGGGTGAAGTGGGGGCTGCTGTACCCTGCACGTCACCCAGACATCCAGCCTTATTATCTTATGAAGAGTTCGGGACTTCCTAGTCCACGGTCACGCTGATGCGCCGCCTTCGTCGTCCTCCGTCTCCGAGTCGTCGTCGGATGTAACGTTGGACGTGTTCCGTCTATTTGCCCTCCTTTNGACTCATTGTCCCCCCCCCCAGCCCTCAGATTCACTGCCCTCTGCCCCCAGATTCGCCTGCTGGCCATGAACGCCTGCCGCAGTCTGCTGGCACAGCCCTCACTGCTTCGCCTGCTGATGCTACAGCCCTCGTCGGCCGCCACGTCCCTCGCCGTCACGAGCCTCAACAGCGTCCGCTCTCCTGACGACGACCAGCTCTCCTTCAGCGCCCCCAGCGTAATCCCTGTTTATTTATCAGCTTGTGTTATATATTTTAAAATCTATTTGATAGATGTTTTGTTTATTTTATATTTATATTATATTATATATTTTTTGTTTATTTCTAACCAGCTCTCCTTCAGTGCCCCCCAGCGTAACCCCTGTTTATTTATCAGCTTTTGCTATTTATTTTAAAATGTAATAATTTAAATTAATAGATATTTTTTATTATTTTTTAATCTATTTAATAGATATTTTTTATTTTTTTAATCTACTCAATAGATATTTTTTATTTTTATAATTTACTTAATAGATATTTTTTACCTACTTTTGTATTAGCTCTAAATATTGGTAAGTTGTTTCTTCAACCAAGCTATTCGTGAGCTGTCAAATAAAGTTATTTATATCTTTCTGAGCGAAGTTATTTATTAGCTTTCAAGCCTGGTTATTTATACATCATTGTCACATCGTCACAATTGCACTTTGGCTGCACTTCATCGTATCATTGTATCTTTATATCATCTTATCATCATCGTATCATATTATCATCATATCATCATATTATCATCATAGCATCACCATATCATCACACCAGGTGTTGCTGCAGCGTATCATCACCGCGGCGACGCTGCCGTCACCAGTCAAGTCATCGTACACGCGTCAACAAATTCAGGTGATTTGTTATCTTATAATTCTGCATTAACTTTATTATTATTCATCTTAATATCGTCCTGCTGCAATGCCGTGAATTATTCATCGCATTATCATTATGAAATAAATGATGAAATATCAGGATCATTAGTCCCCAATTTCGGAGCATTTTTCTTCAATTCTACGTAGTGCTGTGTTATAGTTATATTTAATATATTGAAAACTATATATATATATAGTTATATATAATATATATATCAACTACTGTAATAATAATATATATTATTACAGTAGTTGTGAGTACTGTATTATATCATTAATTATACATGGTTAAATTATTTAGTTATACTAGGTTTTGTCATGTTATATGGTAGGTACGTACGTTATATGGTAGGTATGTTATGGCATCAATAAATTATATTAGTTATTATCGTGTTATATGATATATACGAGTATGTTATATGGTATATACGAGTATTTTATATGGTATGTTATGGTTTAAAAAATTGTATTAGATATTATCGTGTTATATGGTACATACGATTATGTTATATGGTATGTTATGGTATCAATAAATTATATTAGGTATTATCATTTTATTTGGTATATACTTTATATGGTAGCTATCTTGTAAGGTATGTTATGGTAATAATAAATAATATTAATAAAATATAGTTCTATGTTATAATGTCAGGCGGCGGCGCTGGCGCTGATGGAGCGTCTCACGGAGCTGTCTACGCGCCCCGACGTGTCCCCAACCTGTGGGGCTACTGTACCTTCCCCTCCCTCACCCCCCTCACCCTTCACCAACCCTGCTCCCCCTGCTCCCCCTCTCTTCCCCCCGAGGGCTCATCCTCCTGCTGACACCAGACAGGTAATTTACATTTGTTTAATTTATTTTGTTCAATTTCTTTTTAATTTATTTTTTTATATTTGGTTATTTATAAATTGTTTTTCAATTTAAAAATGTAATTTTTTGTTATTCTTCTATTCTATTTTATTCTATTATTGTTGTCAATGCTTAATTTTAATGTGACCTGGAATATTAATCATTTAATGAAACTTTATCAATAAAAAACTGACTCTATTATTTTAAATCACTAATTAATTTCAACAAATAATTCTCAATTGATTGGTGAATTTTCCCCCAGCAAGAGAACCCACAACTGAAGCCCTCCCCCACGTCTGTGGGGGGTCCTAAGCCCCCACACGCAGGGCTAGCGCCCCCCCTGGCTCCTGGGTCTGGGCCCAATCTGGCTCCTGGGTCTGGGCCCCCGCTGCTGGCCCAGCTGGCTGAGATGGGCTTCTCCTCGTCCGCCATCGAGGGCGGGATGAGGGCGCTGGGGGGCGATGTGGGCGTAGAGGCCCTCGTCGCCTGGCTGCTGCAGGAGGCCCAACGTCAGCCTCCCGCCCCACCTTCTGCAGCCAGGTGCTTAAGACATGTCATATTAAGACATGTGGATATGTTAAGACATATGGTCATATTAAGACATGTGGATATGTTAAGGGGAGCGCCTTGGTCCAAAATCGACAATTTTGGCTTTTTCAGTTTTTAGTCTCGTCTCAAAGCTGACATTCTGACCTATCCAACGGCACCAAAACCATCTCCGTACGTTGACCTATGCGTTCACGACAGATCCCGAAGGGCGGGGGGGTGGATGGAGCCCTTAACAAAACCCTATGAGAATAATTACGTCCGGGGTCTATAAATGTGCAGTCTGTTGCCTCGCACCTCAGTCAGCCACGAGCTGTCATGCTGGAAGGTGTGCATGCAGTCGTTCTCTGCATCGCTGAGTGACTTCAGAGTGAAATAACGCTTACCTGAACCTTTGCGCTTACCTGAACCGCTTAGCGCTTACCTGAACCTTTGAACGCTTACCTTTGGTAAGCGCTTACCTGAGTGAGTGAAATAATGCTTACCTTTGGTAAGCGTTATTTCACTCACTCTCATACCTTAATTTAAGCTACGTTATATGCCTTTACATAGCGCGCGCGCCGCCGGTAGGCTGTTTATCGGCTCTCCTGAAAAGTTGCAATTTTCATCTTAGAAATATATCTTCTCCTATGATTTTCAAGCTACAGCAATGAGAGATATACCGTTCGATTCGTAAGTTAAAGCTCTACAAAATGATGATTGTACTTTTTTTCGATTTCGATATAGTTCGGATAATATTTTGCAAAAAAGTGGGGCGGAGGGGGGAAAAATCGAAAAAATGACTTTGAATTGATTTGTGAATAAAAATTTAATAAATTTTCAAAGTTTTCCAAAATTGAATAAATTTGGAAAACGAGAAAGGTAATTTTTTAGATATGGTCTTTAAAAATCGGATGATACGTGTCTCGATTTTGTAGCACGATATTTGTAGGAGATTTTTAAATACCCCTTTTTTCCGTTTTCTATGAATTTCACGTTTTCTTTAATTTTTTCGAAAAATTTACACGAACAAAAAGTTCTTACATTTCTGTTTTACATATATGTACCAAGTTTCCAAGTGATCCGTCTGTAAATAAAAAAGTTTTTCCGCGACCGAGACGCTCCCCTTAAGACATATGGTCTTATTAAGACATATGGTCATATTAAGACATATGGCCATATTAAGACATATGGTCATGTTAAGACATATGGCCATATTAAGACATATGGTCATGTTAAGACATATGGCCATCTTAAGACATATGGCCATATTAAGACATGTGGCTTGTTATAAAATTAGAGACATCGGATGAGGTATTTGATGATCTATATTGTGAGGCAAATAAATCATCGTAGCACGTCTTAGCCTTTGTTTTTTGTTATCACTCGTAACCTTGTTGGTAAGTACCTCACATTGTTATCCGTTGTTATGAAACAAGCTTTCATTGCAACCAGCGTGCAGCTGAAAGCCTCGTTCTCGCGACAAAATTCAAGTGCGATGAAACAAACAAGTATTCATCACACTTTCTTTCATCACATATTCATGAAATATTCACCACTTATTATCACATATTCATGACAATCTATTTCATCACATATTAATCACATTCATGACATATTCACCACTTATTCATGACATATTTACCACTTATTCATGACATATTCACCACTTATTCATGACATATCCACCACTTATTCATGACATATTCACCACTTATTCATGACATATCCACCACTTATTCATGACATATTCACCACTTATTCATGACATATTCACCACTTATTCATGACATATTCACCACTTATTCATGACATATTCACCACTTATTCATGACATATCCACCACTTATTCATGACATTTTCACCACTTATTTATCACATATTCATGACATATCCACCACTTATTCATGACATATTCACCACTTATTCATGATATATTCATGACATTTTCACCACATATTCATCACTTATTCATGACATTCACCACTTATTCATGACATATTCATAACACTATCCTTCATTCATATGCTGCACAGAGTGGAGACGGCGAGGCTGTCACCCCCAGTACCAGGAGGCGCTGCTGCTGGAGACGCTAGGGTGAGTCATAGACGACAAACAATTGTTGTTTTCTCTTATTATTTCTTCTATTATATATATATATATATATTATCTTTTATTATATTGCATTATCTACAATCGAGATGCTGTAGAATAAAAATTATGAGAATTTTTGCTTCCTTTTTTATTTTTTTACGCAAGTTAATTATCTTGAAAATAAGTTTAAAATAAGTTTAAATTTGTGAGAATAACGTTTGAGAAACGTTCGTGAAAAATGGTTCATTTTCAGGATGAATGGTGCTTTGGATGAATGATGATGAATGTCCAATAAATACATCGGGTACGTTTTGGATGAATGATAATGAATGTCCAATAAATACATCGGGTACGTTTTGGATGAATGATAATGAATGTCAAATAAATACGCGCTGTACGCTTTGCATGAATGCTAATGAATGTACACGCAATACACGAAGCAATTAGTAGGTTTGCCCTCAGCGTGAGCATCGCAGCACGGCGGCGGCGCTGGACTCAGATGCTGACTCCCTCACTGACGACGCGCCCTCCCTCGCTGAGGTGAGGGCATCTTCGGCACATATGGCCTCGCACCCTCACAATTTTATCTCCTATACCTTTACTCAGCTTATATGGCCTCTTACCCTCACAATTTTATCTTCTATACCTTTTGTTGCAAGATCCTCTACCTTTACTCACCACCTCTGGCCTTTTACCCTCACAATTTCGTCCTCTGGCCTTTTACCCTCACAATTTCGTCCACTGGCCTCTCACCCTCACAATTTTATCTCCTCTACCTTTACTCACCCCCTCTGGCCTTTTGCCCTCACAATTTTATCTTTTCTACCTTTTTTTGCTCGATATTGTCCCCTATTTTGTCTATTTCCAATGTGGCCGCCTTATAATCATAGTTTCCTGTGATTTTCATCTTTATTGTCATCTCTTACTTCTTCATCTCTTATTGCCTATTCTTTTCTCTTATTTTTCACATAGTTTCCATTTTAATTATAATTACTAATATTATTTCTTAGCTGTTCGAAATGTATAACTGCGGGAAATAACTACGCAGTCGAGACTAGCATTATCATTGAAGATCATTAACTGATCTCCATTATTATAATTGAAGTGGTATAAAGGCCCCACCATTTATTGTAATGGCCCCCCAACATTGAACACCATATCTCCATTATAATCATTGAAGTACTTATATCATTAGTCTGCTTATATCGCAAGTTCACAAGGAATTTAAAAGCAAAGAAAACGCCAAGAATTTTGACTTTTAAAGTGATTTTATTCATTTTTAGTTTAGTCGAACTGATGATGGAGCTGGACTCCGAAACGTTTTCAATATCGATATGGTGAATTTTCTTAGCGTTTTCTTTGCTTTTAAATTCCTTGTGAATCATTGAAGTGATCTAAGGGCCCCTCCATTTATTGTAATGGGCCCCAACATTGAACATCATATCTCCATTATAATCATTGAAGTGGTATAAAGGCCCCACCATTTATTGTAATGGGCCCCAACATTGAACACCATATCTCCATTATAGTCCTATAATATAATATGTATGTAATACATATAATATAATATTATATACATATGTATATATGTATATAATATGCATATATGTAATATATATGTATTATAATCATATAATATAATATAGTTATGCCCCGTTACACAGGCCCCTCGGACGCCAGGTCTCCGGCGACGCGAGGACTAATATTATATACATATGTATATATATGTATATAATATGCATATATGTAATATATATGTATTATAATCATATAATATAATATAGTTATGTCCCGTTGTACAGGCCCCTCGGACGCCAGGACTCCGGCGACGCGAGGACTTCAGCAGCGACGACGACTACGCGCTGTGGCTGAGGGGGCGCCTGCTGGTGGGGGCGCGGGTGAGGTGTTGCCGCTCCTATGAGGAGGTCCACGCGGGGGACGTGGGCACCGTCGTCAGGATAGACCGCGGCGCCCTCCACAACCTCAATGTGCAGGTAGGGGGCGGCGCCCTCCACAAACTCAATGTACAGGTAGGGGGCGGTCGTGTTATGTTATAGAACCGTGTTTTATATTAAATTGATAATAATAAGTATTATATATTCTTATATATACCTGAGTGTATTTTTATCCGACATAACCTTTCATTTATTAGAATAATAAATAAATAAGTACGGTATTGACTTGGTCATATCCGCAGAAATATAAAGAAATTATATGTCAGTTTCTATTATTCTTAAATTTTTCACGAACGACATATTCCTCTCAGAGAAATAAGTAAAAATGTGTCGAGATATCAATGCATCTTTTCCCTTGTATTGGTCATCCTGACCCAGTTTGCCCCTGCAACAGGTCTTATCAGTGCTCTGGTTAGTTTCACTATTTGTACAATATAACCCATTCATTTTTCTCAGGGTTCCTCTTTCTTCTCTCACTATTTACCACAAAAATTAAGATACATTTATGTTATTATTTTCTCTATTTAATTATAATAATTAAACACAAAAATTAAGATATATTTATGTTATTATTTTCTCTATTTAATTATAATAATTAACCACAAAAATTAAGATATATTTATGTTATTATTTTCTCATTATTATTTTCTCTATTTAATTATAATAATTAACCACAAAAATTAAGATATATTTATGTTGTTATTTTCTCTAATTAATCATAATAATTAACCACAAAAATTGGGATATATTCATATTATTATTTTCTCTATTTAATTATAATAATTAACCACAAAAATGTAGATACATTTATGTTATTATTTTCTCTAATTAATAATTAATATTAACTAGATAATTAAGATATATTTATGTTATTATTTTCTCTAAGTAATAATTAATAATAACTAGATAACTAACGTTAGGTTGACTGGGAGCGCAAGCGGGGCACCTACTGGGTGCGTTTCCTACACATTGAGCTGCACGAGCCTCCCACCCCCAGCACGGGGGGACCCTTCAAAGTGGGGGACCGCGTGCGGGTGAAGCCCACCGTCGTCACCCCCGCCTACAAGTGGGGCTCTGTCACCCACCGATCGGTGGGCGTCGTTGCCAGTGAGCATTTTAGATTTTTAAAAGACTTCTCTTTAACTTCAAATCTTGTTAATCGTTTGTTTGTCTACTACAAATATTAAAATCGATATTTACAGCTTTTTTACAAGAATTTTCTTTAACTTCACTTCTTGTTTTTCGTTTCTTTGTCTTCTACAAATCTTATAATTGATATTCAACACACTTCTACCTGTTCAATCGATCTGAAATTTTGCAATCCTGTGTAAAGTTGGAGACAATGCATGAATCAATTGACAGAATAAATATTTAAAAAATTGAAAAATGTAGATTTATATTGAAAATGTAAAAAATAATTTTTTTAGTATTTAAAAATAAAGTAACAAATTCACTGTACATGTGTAACATCAGAGTTATGTACTGGCCCCTTTAGAAGTGTTGTTTTTGAAAAGTAATTTTTAAACGCATATTATTATACAATAATTTACTACTTAATTTGTTACGTCATTACTGTTACAATACTCTTAGTAACACGTCATTTGCAAGACTCTGTTATTGGTAATTAGTTTATTATCGCTAAAAGCTGCCAAAAATGAATAAATAAAATGTAACATCATGGAATTACATTTATCTCCAGGCTACACGGCAAGGGACGGTTTCTTGTGGCCATTGTAGAAAAATGTTACAGTCCTCTTGAAGTGCACTGTTTTTAATAGGTGTTATTATTATATAGTACCGGTATTGTATATAATCACATAATATTGATATACATGATTGAGGACTATGAAGTAATATGAATTAATATGAAGTAATATGCAGCAATATGAAGCAATATGAAGTAATATGAAGTAATATCAATTAATATGAATGTCTCTGCAGAAGTGGAGACTGGGGGCGACGTGCTGGTGGTGGACTTCCCAGAGCAAGACCACTGGCACTGCCGGGCCCATGAGATGGACTTGGCCCCACCGGGCCACACTGACGTATCCTGCTCTGAGTGTGGGGCCTGGCCCCTCTATGGTGAGTGTGGGGCCTGGCTTTATGGTGAGTGTGGGGCCTGGCCCCTCTATGGTGAGTGTGGGGCCTGGCCTCTCTATGGTGAGTGTGGGGCCTGGCCCCTCTATGGTGAGTGTGGGACCTGGCCCCTCAATGGTGAGTGGGGCCTGGCCCCTCTATGGTGAGTGGGGCCTGGCCCCTCTATGGTGAGTGTGGGGCCTGGCCCCTCTATTTATTACAACACTTCTCTTTAACTTCACTTGTTGTTGCCTGTCTGTCTGCTACAAATCTTATAATCAATATTTAACACACTTCTACCTGTCCAATCTATCTGAAATTTCGTTCACTTGCGTAAAGTTTGAGACAATGCATGAATCGACTGACGGGATGAATTATTAAAAAAATATATTTTTACCAATAATAGAAGAAATTACAATTTTTTTTTAATATATAAAAACAATAGAAGAAATTCATTGTACATTTGTCATATCGGAGACACTGGATTCTTTCGAAGTGTTGTCTTTGAAAAGTAATTTTTAAACGTATATTATTACTGCACCCTGTACTAGGGCGCAGTACCCTGACGCTGTACTAGGACGCAGTACCCTGACGCTGTACTAGGACGCAGTACCTTGACGCTGTACTAGGACGCAGTACCCTGACGCTGCACTAGGACGCAGTACCCTGACGCTGTACTAGGACGCAGTACCCTGACGCTGTACTAGGGCGCAGTACCCTGACGCTGCACTAGGGCGCAGTACCCAGACACAGCACTAACACACTAGTGTATTAACACACTAACCCCCCGCAGGAGCGCGGTTCAAGTGCAAGGTGTGCGCACAGTTCAACTACTGCGAGGACTGCTTCTACACGCGCCGCACGCACCAGCACCTCTTCTACAGGATCGCTGAGCCCGGTCTGATATTTAAATCACTATCTACATTATATTATGTTATATTATATTATATTATATTATATTATACTATAAATTATATTATATTATAGTACCTAATTGTATTACCGTATATTTATTTCTATGTGTCTCTTCCTGAGTATGTTCACCATAAAATTGCTTAAACTGATCAGGACATATGTTGTGATCAGACAAATTTGTTTTATAGTACAGTATGAGTATTGTCTTTGAAAAAAAAAATAAATTTTCATTTTAATTCTTTGTATGTTTTTTAGATGTCTTGAATATCGTATAAATATATAATCACAAATACGAATAAAGAATAAAATTATTATTATTTTTAAGAACATAATATATATAACATTATGCCCAGACTTCATGAGCGTCAGTAATATGGTTTTTCAGACAATATAATCAGGAATATATATTAATATACATAATAATATATTAATATATATAATCAGGAATATATATTAATATACATAATAATATATTAATATATATAATCATGAAGATATAGGCCTAGGCCGTTTATTCGTCCCGCCGCTGCAGGATCAGCTGCCGTGTACGCGGGCCACGCCGGACGGGGCCGGGCCCGCCACCCTTACGCCACCACCGCCGCCCCCCACCTCCCTGTGGACGCCACGCCCGCCGCTGAACCTGGTGGGTTATGGCTACTGTCATGCCGTGGCATACGCCCATTACCTATTACCTATCGCCCATATATTTTGCCGTATAATTTTTCACTCATTTGTCTTACTGTCGCACATTTTCTGACCAATTTCGCCCATTTGTCTTAATGGCGCACAACCTCTGACCCATTTTTCGCGCATTTGTCTCACTGTCACACATCCCCTGACCCATTTTTCGCGCATTTGTCTCACTGTCACACATCCCCTGACCCATTTCACCCATTTGCCTCACTGTCACACTCCCTCACCCATTTGTGTCACTGTCACACACCCCATAACCCACGACGATGTCGCAGGTGTGCTGAAGGAGTGGGGTCATGTGGTGGCCCACCTGTCGGTGTCGTCACGGGAGAACTGGGCACCCCGCCTCACCGACCCCGCCGCGGGGTACTGGCAGAGCTGCGGTCATGAGGGCAAGGTTAGCATATCTTCTATATCATTTATTTATTTATATTTATATATATTTGTCATTTTTTATTTATAGTTATTATTATTTATATATATCTATTATAATTTTTTTTATAATTATTACTATGTATTCGAATTTATTATTTATATTTATTTTCCATAGAATTCTTAACTTATTATTTTACTAAATTATTAATTAATTCATTTATTAAATCTTAATTCATAAATGCTCTCATTTATTCTCGGCGTTCATGTGCATTTTTTTATTCCCAATGAAAAAACAGGATTAAATTTTGCGTGTCCCGTCTGGTGTAGCGAGGTTCTTACATCCCTCCCTTTGATGCTCATTACGCTTTTCTCTTGGCATTTAAAAAAAATGTTAATAAACACCACATATTTGGCCTGTAGAAGAAGCAAAAAGTGACTTTGTACTTCAGTGCAGTGGCTGTTCATCTGCTCAGCCTTCGCAAGGGAGTTCATTTCTAGTTAATTATTAATTCGAATACGCACTATTAATACGCAGTATTCACTGAGAACCTAGTCCCAGTGACTAGGTTCCTAGTGACCTAGGTTCCTAGTGACCTAGGTTCCTAGTGACCTAGGTTCCTATTGACCTAGGTTCCCAGTGATCTAGGTTCCTAGAGACCTAGGTTCCCAGTGACCTAGGTTCCCAGTGACCTAGGTTCCTAGTGACCTAGGTTCCTAGTGACCAAGGTTCCCGGTGACCTAGGTTCCCAGTGACCTAGGGTCCCAGTAACCTAGGTTCCTAGTGACCTAGGTTCCTAGTGACCTAGGTTCCCAGTGACCTAGGTTCCCAGTGACCTAGGTTCCCAGTGACCAAGGTTCCTAGTGACCTAGGTTCCCAGGGACCTAGGTTCCTAGTGACCTAGGTTCCCAGGGACCTAGGTTCCTAGTGACCTAGGTTCCCACTGACCTAGGTTCCCAGTGACCTAGGTTCCCTGTGACCTATTATTCATCATATTATGCGTATGGTGACCGCGAATATTTAATTGCGTATTGTGACCGCGATTGTTTAATCATGCGCCTTCTGGTGCAGCACTGGATGCGGCTGGAGCTGCGTGAGCGCGTATGCGTGCGCACGCTGCGCATGCTGGTGGACCCTGAGGACAACTCGTACATGCCGGCGGTGGTGACGGTGCAGGGGGCCCAGGCCCTAAGCGGCAAGCGGAGGACCCTCAACACCGTCGCCGTCAGGCCCACCGACACCTGGGTCACGCTCCTCTCCAACCTCACCGAGGTGAACGCCTGCATTTTTAGTTTTGAAATTAATTTAAATTGAATTTCTCATATGAATTCATATTGTATTTTATTATATTGCATATTATTGATATTTTGTTTCATTTTATCATTTGTTCCCAGTCATGATGTTAATTATGGGTCACGCTCCTCCCCAACCTCACCGAGGTGAACGCATGCATTTTTTGTTTTGAAATTAATTTATATTGAATTTCTCCCCATATTTAATATTGTATTTCATTATATTTCATATTATTGTTACTGATATCATATATCATTTTATCATTAGTCCCTGTCATGATGTTAGTCATTCAATTTGTCATTGCGTCACCCTTCACGGTTTGTAGGCGTTATCTAGCACTAACCTTCATGAATTTCCATTTTTTCACGATTTTTCACTAGTACGTATTGCCAATGAAGTGCAGTACCACTGCCACGTCAATAAAAAGTGCAGTACACCACTGGCGCACTGCATTACACGCAGTATCACACGTGCAGTACACGCAGTGTTCACCAGTACACGCAGTATGCAGTACACGCAGTGTGCAGTACACGCAGTATGCATCACACGCAGTGTGCAGTACACGCAGTATTCACACGCAGTATTCACCCGTGCAGTACCACCGGTTCGTGGAGGTGTGCGTGGTCACACGTGCAGTACACGCACGCAGTAAACACGTGCAGTACACGCAGTATTGACACGCGCATTACACGTACATAACACGCAGTATGACCCGTGCAGTACCACCGGTTCGTGGAGGTGTGCGTGGTGTCCTGCAAGTCTGGGGGCATTGACTGTCGTGTGCACCTGCTGGAGGTGACGGGGCAGGTCTTCGTGGAGCCCCCGCAGCCCTGTGGGGGACACGCCTTCCTCGCCACTGATGACTTCCCGCTACCCGTCAGTGGGGGGGCTCTGTCTTATTGACTTATTAATTCGTACTAATTATCGTATACGTGCTAATTATCGTATACATATACTAATTATCGTTCATACTAATTATCGTAAACGTACTAATTATCGTTCATACTAATTATCGTAAACGTACTAATTATCGTATAGGTACTAATAGTCGTACGTACTAATTAGCGTCCTTACACTAATTATTGTACGTACTAATTATCCTCTCTCTATATCCCTAATAAATTTTCGTATAGGTAATTATCGTAGGTACTAATGTCTAATATAATCGTAGTTTATCCTCTCTATATGCCCCTAATAACTCCAGAATTGCTCTCTCTATTAGCACAATAATCGCTAGGTATATTGCTTCTATAACATACAAATCTCCCCCCACCTTCCCTCTCCTCTTGCCTGAATTGCGTACGAATTTATTGCCTTCTTGCCCCACACCCTCGCTTCCTCCTCGTACAGGGGGGCAGAACAAGGGGCCAGGGCCCAGGCCCGGAGGAGTGCGATACCAAGGTGCTGGTGTGGGGTCTGAACGACAAGGACCAGCTTGCGGGGCTGTCTGGGTCTAAGATCAAGACCCCGGTGTTGTCGGAGCGGCTCAGCGCGCTGCGCCCCCTGCACATCGCGGGGGGCAGCAAGAGCCTCTTCGTCGTCACCGCCGACGGCAAGGTGGGTGACCTGAAGGTGACAGATGGCCTTAAAATGGCCAAGTCCGCAGACAAAAAAAGGCCAGAAATGACCCACAATTTGACCTGAAGGTGCCAGATGGCCTTAAAATGGCCAAGTCCGCGGACTAAAAGGGTCAGAAGTGACCCACAATTCAATATTGAATAATAAATTCGTAGGTTGCGGTGCTAAAATTCCATTCTCCTTTTTATTGTAATTTGTAAAATATTTTAAGGAAGCCGCCATATTTTGGCCGGCCAACGTACTTGAAAATAATTTAATGGTGGAAATTGGCAAAAAAATTATTATGATTTGACAATCCGGGAACACTTCGGTAGAAACTCGTGAGGACTTTTCTCATTAAAGTTTGCATTGAATTATTGTGTAATCTCAGGTGCATGATAAGGTTACCTTTTAGAGCTTGAAGATTCATATGTTAATTTTAAAGAAGTTTTTAAAAGCTTTGTTTTGTTATGCGTAATTAGAAGTCTGTGCTCCACGTGAAATGAAATTATTTTGGCAAAATGAAATCTTTTATAAACGGCAGTTTCTCAGTTCTCTATTCTACGTATTTATACTGAACAAAATTACTTGCTTTTAGGCTTGTCTTGACTTTCTTGGCCTCTGCATATAATGTGGGCGCATGTGTTCATACGATGAGAGGAAAACCTGTCATAATATTGCCTCCCTTATTATTAATTACTTATTATTATTACCTCCCTTGATATTAATTACTTCTTATTATTACCTGCCATATTATTAATTACTTCTTATTATTACCTGCCATATTATTAATTACTTATTATTATTACCTCCCTTGATATTAATTACTTATTATTATTACCTGCCATAATGTTAATTAATGAGGGCGCCGCGGTCTATCCTGACGACAGTGCCTACGTCCCATATTACTCCTAGAAACTCTGTCCATTTCGTCCAGTAAGTCCTTACGTCCAATTAGTCCTTGTGTCCAGTAAGTCCTTGTGTCCTGTAAGTCCTTGTGTCCATTAAGTCCTTGTGTCCAATTAGTCCTTGTGTCCAATAAGTCCTTGTGCCCAGTAAGTCCTTGTGTCCTGTAAGTCCTTGTGTCCAGTAAGTCCTTGTGTCCAGTAAGTCCTTGTGTCCTGTAAGTCCTTGTGTCCAGTAAGTCCTTGTGTCCAATTAGTCCTTGTGTCCAATTAGTCCTTGTGTCCAATAAGTCCTTGTGTCCTGTGAGTCCTTGTGTCCAATAAGTCCTTGTGTCCAATAAGTCCTTGTGTCCTGTAAGTCCTTGTGTCCAGTAAGTCCTTGTGTCCAATTAGTCCTTGTGTCCAATAAGTCCTTGTGTCCAATACGTCCTTGTGTCCTGTAAGTCCTTGTGTCCAATAAGTCCTTGTGTCCAATACGTCCTTGTGTCCTGTAAGTCCTTGTGTCCAATAAGTCCTTGTGTCCTATAAGTCTTTGTGTCCAATAAGTCCTTGTGTCCAATAAGTCCTTGCGTCCAATAAGTCCTTGTGTCCAATAAGTCCTTGTGTCCAGTAAGTCCTTGTGTCCAAACTTGTGTCCTGTAAGTCCTTGTGTCCAGTAAGTCCTTGTGTCCAATAAGTCCTTGTGTCCAATAAGTCCTTGTGTCCAATAAGTCCTTGTGTCCAGTAAGTCCTTGTCTCCAATAAGTCCTTGTCCCCAATAACGTCGCAGGTGTACGCGTGTGGTGAAGGCACGGGCGGACGTCTGGGTCTGGGCCCGTGTGGTAACGTCGCCATACCGCGTCAGCTGACGGTGCTGAGTCAGCACGTCGTCAGGAAGGTCGCCGTCCACTCCGGGGGGCGCCATGCCATGGCTCTCACTGCTGACGGCAAAGTAATTTAATTACTTAATAAGTTTCATTCTTTGTTATTTATTATATTCTCTGTTGTATTATATTGTCTATACGCCTGCACGCTCTTCATAAGCCGTAAGAATAACATTAAGGGACTGCATGCCCTTCACTAGCCGTAGGAATAACATTACAGTGCTACATGCCCTCCATAAGTCGTAGGAATAACATTACGGGGCTGCAGACCCTTCATAAGCCGTAGTAATAACATTACGGGGCTGCAGGTGTTCTCGTGGGGAGAAGGGGAGGACGGCAAGTTGGGGCACGGCCACCGCCTGAGTGTGGACTCCCCACGCCTCGTGCAAGGCCTCAAGGGGAAGCGCATTAGGGACGTGGCGTGTGGTTCCTCCCACTCCGCTGCCATCACGTCCAGTGGGGAGCTGTACACCTGGGGACTTGGGGAGTACGGCCGTCTGGGGCATGGGGACACCGTCACCCAGCTCCGCCCCAAGCTGGTCAAGGCCCTGCTGGGGCACAGGATAGTCCAGGTCAGTGCGTGTATTGGCTGGTAAAAGTAGTTGTTGATGTTGTTAGGTAAATTTTATTTGATCGATAATATCAGTGTAATGTTATTAATCGCAGGAAGAAGTAATTGTTGATGTTGTTAGATAAATGTTAGTTTATTGATAATGTCAAGTTAATAACGTTATGGATCTGGTTAATAACGTTATGGCATCTGGTTGATATTAACAGGGCAATATTATCACGTTGATGTTATGACTTATTGTCATACTCACAATAAACTCATAATATATATTATGAGTTTATTGTGAGTAGTAGTTAGGAATTTAAAAGCAAAGACAATACCACAAAATTCACCATTTCTTTATAAGAGAAAACGTATTGGAGTCCAGCTCCAACGGCAGTTCATAACGCAAAGTTCGGTTCAAAAGAAGTTGAAGGTTTGTCTTAAAAAAGAACGTTTTCTCTTATAAAGAATGGTGAATTTTTGTGGTATTGTCTTTGCTTTTAAATTCCTGGTTAACTTGCGATTTAAGCAAACAAGTGATTTGAAAACTATTGTCAGTTATTTTCGCCCTTATGCGAATTTTTTATAACTACTACCGAGCATCTAACATTTTTTTAATTTCCAAATTGAATGCTAGTAAAAAACGCTACGCGAGACACTTAAGTAGAATACAAGGCACTGTACACTCATAAAAATACGTGTGCGTGGCAGGTGGCGTGTGGGTCTCGGGACGCGCAGACGCTGGCGCTGACGGCGGAGGGTCAGGTCTGGTCCTGGGGCGACGGGGACTTCGGGAAGCTGGGGCGGGGGGGATCTGAGGGCTGCTCTCTTCCCCACAACGTGGAGCGTCTCAACGGCCTCGGCGTGTGCCAGATAGAGTGCGGCGCTCAGTTCTCACTCGCCCTCACAACCAGCGGGCAGGTGAGTGCGGTGCTCAGTTCTCACTCGCCCTCACCACCAGCGGGCAGGTGAGTGCGGCGCTCAGTTCTCACTCTCACTGAGTGAGTACGTTGCATGCATTACTCACATTACTCCCTACATTTATCGTTATGTCATTCCTGATCTAATAATTTCTCATACTAATAATTTCATTCATTCTAGAGAAAATTATTCTTTCTAACATGTCTTAAGAAGTACGCCCGAAGTACACATGTATTACAAAGTACAGCAACATTTTCGTTACAAATGTTCGTTGTAACAAGACGAACTTGTGCCCCAGGTGTGGACGTGGGGAAAAGGGGACTTCTACCGCCTGGGGCACGGCCAGAACCAGCACGTGAGACTTCCCACGCTGCTGGAGGGGCTCAAGGGGAAGCACATCACCCATGTCGCCGTGGGGGCACTGCACTGCCTCGCCGTCACCTCCACTGGACAGGTGCAGTGGGTCTAAGGGCAGTGGGTCTCAGGGCAGTGGTTCTCAGGGCAGTGGTTCTCAGGGCAGTGGTTCTCAGGGCAGTGGTTCTCAGGGCAGTGGTTCTCAGGGCAGTGGGTCTCAGGGCAGTGGGTCTCAGGGCAGTGGGTCTCAGGGCAGTGGCAGGATAGTGCTGGAATATAATACATCGAAGTGATACAATAATTACAATTACAAAGGAAGTGTAATATTAATTACTTGGATTTGAATGGATTATTATGGTAATAGTGGAATTTGAACCATATACCGGTTTTACTCTTGAATTATAAAAAAGTTAATGTTTGTGTTTCATTTAGAAACGCTTTTAAACTGTTTCTTGTTATGAAGCTTAAAATTTATTGGTTCATGATGAAGGCCTGGGTCGAAAGCTCCTTCATTAACGTCCTGTTAGGACCTCCATTAATGGAAGGGATTAAAGGAGTGCTGGACTGGATTTAAAGGAGTGCTGGACTTCAATATCTAAAAGGAAGGATTTAAAGGCTTGCCGGACTTTATTCTAGTATAATGACTATAATCCGATCCACATATCTAAAAGGAAGGATTTAAAGGCGTGCCGCACTTGACATTAGCTTAGTCTAATCCATGTATCTATAATCGTATTGAAATGGAAGGATTTAAAGGCGTACCGGACTTCACTGTCCGTGCCCCGCAGGTGTACGCGTGGGGTGACAACGACCACGGGCAGCAGGGCAACGGTACAACAGACGTCAACCGCCGTCCCTCACCCGTGCTCGGGCTCGAGGGCTACAAGGTGTCCCGGGTTGCCTGCGGGTCCTCACACTCAGTGGGCTGGACCATCCAGGACCCGCCCCTGCTTCCCCCCACTGAGCCCGTCATGTTCACCCTCCCTCGGGACCCGCTGGGGGCCCACGCGATGGGTGGGTTACTCTAAATTGGTATTGGGGGCCTAGTGTGCGTGGGGTGTAAATTCTCGTAGTATTTTAATGTGAATTCAAATAGCAGGCAATAAGTCCAGCAGCTATCTCAATCAATCGTCAGTTATGGAAAGATCGGGTTCCAAAGGCCGGATCCCTTGTGAATCAAGTCACGAAAAGTTCAAGAATCGGCAACAGGCCATGGGCCTATTTCTTCAACGCCGACACTTCTATTCTATTCTATTCTAATATATTTTCGTGTCGTACAGTTATATTATTTGTAATATTTCATGTCATAGTTATATTATTTGTTATATTTCATGTCATACAGTTATATTATTTGTAATATTTCATGTCATACAGTTATATTATTTGTTTTATTTCATGTCATAGTTATATTATTTGTTATATAGCAGGTCGTACAGTTATACCTATTATTTGTTATATTTCATGTCATAGATCTTCACATTTGAATGATCGTACGTAGTGCGTATGTCACTTTGGTAAATGTTGCGCAAATATGTTATGTTCCAACAACCTAATAAACCTTTTATTCTTATCAAAAGAGCTCCAAACATTTTTACGTTTTTTAATAATAAAAGAGCTTCAAACATTTTTATTTCTATATTACAATTGAAGGAGAAATACAACACAAGTCAATGTGTTAATATTTATTAGCCCCCCAAGACACCCCTTAACCCCTCCTTATGACCCCCATAACCTCCCCCTTATGACCCTAACCTCCTAGATGATAAATAAAGGAGAATTACGACACAAGTCGATGTATTAATATTTATATAAGCTTATATTCTATATGATATATAACGCGTCTTATCCGCTAATAGTTATATAAGCATTAATTTTTATGATATATAACGTGTCTTATCCGCTAATATTTATATAAGCTTATATTCTATATGATATATAACGTGTCTTATCCGCTAATATTCATATAAGCTTATATTCTATATGATATATAACGTGTCTTATCCGCAGGCATCGCGGACGCGTTCACCACGGAAAGCGTCTCATCGTCGCCGCCGTCCACGACTGGAGGCGTCCCCGTCGCCCACCGTCGCTCTGTGCCGTCCATCTTACCAGGCACAGCGTCCTCGACTGTCCCGTCCACGGGTGACGGGGAGAAGGAAGCCCCGCCGTCCCTGACGAAGGCGGTGCTGGGGCTCAGCTCCCCAGCCGCCCAGCAGGTCGCCCTCCAGCACCTGCTCAACGCCCTCCAGGTGAAGAGACGCTTTTAAAAATTTAAATTTTAAATTTTTATTATTTTTTAATTTAATTTAATTTTAAGTTAATTTCTTATATCAACTTTATTTAGATTTTATTATAGTACTTTACCTTATGTATACTTTGTTTTCTCTGTAAAATTATATTCATCAACGCCCTCCAGATGAAGAGACACTTTTGAAAATTATACTGAAATTATAATGAGTTTATTTCTTATATCAACTTTATTTATATTTTATTATAGTACTTTACCTTCTGTTGGTATACTTTGTTTTGTCTGTAAAATTATATTCATGTTTTATAGTGGTTTGATTATACTTGTATTATTAAACAACCTTCAAGTGAGCCCGACATCTTGAATGTACAATTAAAAAGAACTCTTGTCGTTATTAAAATATTTTTATGACCTTCATTCACTAAGGGATTACCCATGTAAGGAATTTGCTCAAGAAGGGATTTATTCGTCAAGGGATTTTTTCACTAAAGGATTCATTTCCTAAGGGATTTATTTGCTGAGGGATTTGTTCGCTAAAGGATTTATTCACTAAAGGATTCATTTGCTATTGTATTTATTTGCTAAAGGATTTATTCACTAAAGGATTCATTTGCCAAGGGATTTATCCGCTAAGGGATTTGTTTGCTAAGTGATTTACTTGCTAAGGGATTTATTTGCTAAGTGATTTACTTGCTAAGGGATTTATTTGCGAAGTGATTTACTTGCTAAGGGATTTATTTGCTAAGTGATTTACTCGCTAAGGGATTTATTTGCTAAGTGATTTACTTGCTAAGTGATTTACTCGCTAAGGAATTTATTTGCTAAGGGATTTATCTGCTAAGGGATTTACTCGCTAAGGGATTTATTTGCTAAGGGATTTATTTGCTAAGGGATTTACTTGCTAAGGGATTTACTTGCTAAGGGATTTACTTGCTAAGGGATTTATTTGCTAAAGGATTTATTCCCTGAGTAATTGACTCGTGCTCCTCCAGATCCTGCTGGCGCGGGAGTGCGTGGTGGCCACGGCGCGGCCCTCAGCGGCGGCCACCCTGCCTCCTGACCACCTCCTTCAGGAGGACGACGCCTGTGAGTGCGCCCGTCTAATGAATGTGTTCGAGACAAAGAGCTTTAAAAATGTGCAAATTTTCATAACTCTTATTACTTTTTATGATGCATTTTCTATACTTCTTTATATTTTTTATGGATATACTATTAATGGTATACTTTTACTATTAATGGTATACTTTTTTACTATTAATGGTATTATTCCATCACGTCACTCAGAAAAATTAGAAGGATCATGTCTCTCTTACCCTCAACACGAGCATTGATCGTGTTGAAGCGCCTTTTTACCGGGCCAAACTGTGTCAGGATGACCCACAATAGCGCAAAAAGTGCATCGCTATTTAAACACTACGCCACACAATTCTCTGACTTACCTCTATCTTCATTAACAAATTTCATCATTATTGTTTATTATTTATTTCTTAACGACGATGTTTATTTTCAGCCGTGACTCCAGTGAACAGCCTGGAGCGCAGCTCCCCTCCTCCAAGGAGCCCCTCCCCCGACTCCTCGGCCACCACGACCCCCTCATCGCTGGCCCCCCGCCCCAGCCCCCCACCTGGTGGGGAGATCGCTGAAGGTGGGGGCGAGGCTCTCGCTTGCCCCATAGAAGCCGCCAGCGTCAACGCCACCATGGTCCGTCTATACACTGTTAGAAAAATTACCGTTAACGGTATTACCGGCGTTTTAGTGGCCCATCGGCACGAGAAATGAAACACCGTGTCGCCGTTTTTATTCTAATTTAACGCTAGAAATCCGTAAAACATCTGATAAAAACGGCGAAACAGTTTATTTTCACGGGGCGACCGGCCACTTGAACGCCAGCGGGACTGTTTTTTTCACCGTTTTTTTCTAACAGTGTAGGTACTTTTTATATAGTTTTATATAATATATATGTATAATATATATGGCTCATTACATATACTGACTTATATGCTTCATATATACTGGCGCCTCGTTATATAATCTGATGTAATAATCAGATCATATAATCTGATGGCAATTAGAATTTGCAGAAAAAAATTGCTAATGGAATCATGTATTCCATATGTATAGACAACAACAACCGTTAATTTCAATGCATTCAACTCTTCTCCCTGTAATTATCGTCCATCAGTAATTCCTTATTCGTAAGCCAATTTAGCTATAAAACATATAAGACATCCAAACACCAATTTTTTACAACACAGCAGCTCTTACAATTCTGGTCGATATCGCAAAGATGACCACATGCACATGGCTGAGAATTAGCGACAGGCCAATATGATATAATTGGAGCTTACTCGCAATTTTATATAGCAATAATATTATTTTCCATCCTGGAAAATTGCTAACTTGGCCGAGGACAATAGACAGTAATTCTCGGATGAAATCATTGCTCAAGATTCTGTGCAATCAAAGTCGGTCGATTGAGGCAACCTGAATCCAAGTTCTGGTGTAAAGGATACGTGTTCTCTGCTTTTGGATTCACGATATTTCATCTTAAATCTGCATCTTTGCGTTTAATCGCTCAAGTTACGAGACGTGTATTCAAACTTTTACTATTTTCTGATGCGACACACATAATTTCACACTATTTAATAATTTAATGTTAATTTATCACTTGAGACTTACATTTACAAATCTGATGTAACACTTGACCGATAACTGTAATGTATTTTTCGTTACCATCTCACACTGACACCCATCCTACGGCAGAGTTTGGTTGGCAGCCCCGGCAGCGACGAGAGCATCTTGCTGCAGCTTGCGTCCGCCGCCTCCACCACCTCCCACCGCCACCACCACCACGTCCTGCCCGCCGCCCCCGACACGACCACCCTCGTCACGGGACCAAGTGACGTGTGCTCGTCCCCTCCTGTAAACACAGCGCCGAGTCATGGCGGCGACGACCTAATCGGCCACCTCAGTGAAGACGAGGTGGGCGTGGCGGTAGACCTCCTGAAGCTGGCGGTGGCGGGACGAGCGGGTGACGGCGCTGCTGTGGCGCTCACCCACGCCATCGGTGGGTGGTGCTCACGGTCCCGGGGCGTAGCGGCGGCGGTGCTGGAGCTCTGCGTAACAGAGCTTGAAGACGCGGCGTGTGACACGGAAGCTCTGAGGGCCGCCCCACAACCTGTGGTGCAGGAGAGCTCGCACCCATACACCGACAACACCAATACTTCAGGCACCGTCAAAATCCCGGGGGCCGAAGCCCTACGTGTGCAGTTCTCTCCTGAATGCAGCACTGAAAGGCGTCATGATCCCCTGATCCTGCTGGACGCACAGCACAGGGTCCTCTCGGTGCGCTCGGGGCGTGATTGGCCGGACTGGTCTGCAGAGTTGCGCGTTCCAGGCGACGAAATGCACTGGAAGTTCACAAGCGATGGCTCCGTGAATGGCTGGGGCTGGCGCTTCACTGTGTACCCGTTGATGACGCGCCCTGCGCCTTGCGACTCCTACAGCGACAGGCGTCTCTTGTCGCGACCCATGCTCGAGGTGGCCGTGTGTCTGCTGCCCTTTGCTCTGCCAGCGTCGCCACATCCTCCGACTCTCGCACGTCTTGCTGCTGCCCTCGCCTCCTGCTCGCAGCTGTCATGCCTCGCGCCCGGGCACCGCATGTGGGCCCTTAAGACGCTGCGCCATATCATCACCTCGGAGGTCGGGGTGTCTCTGAACATAAAAGCCCTTCTGGCAGCATCGTATCCTGTGGTTCCACCTACAGCCACCACTGCTACAGTCAACACCAGGGCCATGTCCCCGCTGCTGCTTCCCCACCAGTACCATCATTCCTCGTATCATTCACATCATCGGTCGTCTGCATCATCGCTGCAGTCGATGCCTGTACAGCAGCTGCAACAAGCGGCCAATACCACGCAGCTGGCGGCTCTCTCGTCCGCCCTCAAGGACAGCACTGAGAGCATCGACTCAATTTCATCCGCGACGCGTGGCCACGAAGTTCGTTTCTGTCCTGAAATGCCCCTCGTGAGTCTGCTCAAGAACCTCCCCGACGCTCTGCTCCGGCAGTACGACTACGAAGACCCTCTTGTAAGGGGCGGCAAGCATCTCATGCACTCGCAGTTCTTCAAGGTCTTGGTGGGCCTTGCTTGTGACTTGGAGCTCGATCATTTGGTCAGCGACTCTCATAAATGGAATTGGTTCAGGAAATACTGCGCCGCAGCTCGGGTCCTGAACTCTTTGCTACACCGCACGCCCTTACCGCAGCAATTCATCGCTGAAGTGCGTAGTAAGCTTCGGGAAATGGTCGGGGACGGCGAGGCTATCGACTGTAGGCACGAGGACCAGAAACTTTTCACGCATGACCACGACCACCAACTGCTGCTGTGGTTCCAGCGTAAGCCTGATGACTGGACCTTGTCGTGGGGCGGTAGCGGGAGTATTCATGGCTGGGGTCACAACCACCGGGGGCAGCTGGGGGGCGTCGAGGGGGCTAAAGTGAAGCTCCCTCACCCATGTGAAGCGCTAACTGCTCTTCGGCCTGTGCAGCTCATTGGAGGAGAGCAAACGCTCTTCGCTGTCACTGCTGAGGGCAAAGTTTATGCCTCAGGTGAGACTATCTGCCCGACCTCGTTTTCGCAGTCTTCTACGATCTGATTTTAATTCTTTTTATGTGCTATATCTTCTACGTAAATTGTTTGAATAGTATAAAATTAATATTGAACCTGTACATTTCACTCATTCATATAAGCCTACAATTTGTATTTCCGGTGAATTTATTTACATTAGTCTGCCCTCGTCTTTCCTCAAGGCTACGGGGCAGGCGGGCGTCTGGGTATAGGCGGGGTGGACTCAGCGCTGACGCCGACGCTGCTGGAGTCGCTGCAGCGCGTCGTCGTCAAGAAGGTCGCCGTCAACAGCGGCGGCAAACACTGCCTCGCCCTCACCGACACTGGCGACGTGTACTCCTGGGGCGAGGGCGACGACGGCAAACTGGGGCATGGCAACAAGAGGTAACCAGGGCATGGCAACAAGAGGTAACCAGGGCATGGCAACAAGTGGTGGTGCTCATGCTGGGGCATGGCAACAAGAGGTAACCAGGGCATGGCAACAAGTGGTGGTGCTCATGCTGGGGCATGGCAACAAGAGGTAACCAGGGCATGGCAACAAGAGGTAGTACTTATTCTGGGGCATGGCAACAAGAGATAACCAGGGCTTGGCAACAAGAGGTAACCAGAGCATGGCAACAAGAGATGGTACTTGTTCTGGGGCATGGCAACAAGAGGTAACCAGGGCATGGCAACAAGAGGTAGTACTTATTCTGGGGCATGGCAACAAGAG